GGGGGGGGCCAAGCAGAGCCAAGCCGCGGAGCGCGAGATCAGCTGACAGCTCAGACGTGTTCCGCCGCTTTGCTTCCTCTCCCTGGTCTGCTGGAGACCAAGGAGAGGAACGGCCCCGTTCGTAACTGCGGATCCGACGTAAGTAACTTGGGGACTGCCTGTACAATAATCAGGGCTCGCAGAACCGCGGCACAGATCGTTCTGCGCATGAAGCAGAGCCAAGCCGCGGAGCGCGAGATCAGCTGACAGCTCAGACGTGTTCCGCCGCTTTGCTTCCTCTCCCTGGTCTGCTGGAGACCAAGGAGAGGAACGGCCCCGTTCGTAACTGCGGATCCGACGTAAGTAACTTGGGGACTGCCTGTACAATAATCAGGGCTCGCAGAACCGCGGCACAGATCGTTCTGCGCATGGGCAGATCGCCCCAATTCCAGCTCTTCCGGGTTGTAATCTATTTGCCGTGGGTGAGTAGATTACATAGTTTGTCAAGCCCTTACAATAATGCATTCCTTTACATTAAAATTTTTGTTTTGTTTGTTCCCTGTATACAGCAGGACAGTAGTCATTCTTATTTTGTCCATCCATAAACCCACTAATTTTTACAAAAAACTGCCTCATACCAGTTAATAGAGAACAATAATAAGTTTTACCACTAAGACTTTGTTAGTTTCTCAACATATAATGCAGAGTGAGAGTGTGATAAATAAAACTAAATTACAGTGCACTGACAAATTAAATTGCATGATACATGTTTTGTTGCCTCTATGACTAATCTGCAAATCTGGTTTCCTCCAGTTGCTAGTATAAATTAGGGGGCTTTTTTTACTATGGCCCTGATCCTACAAAGTATCCAAGCATGTGCATAACTTTAATCAAATTTTGTTGCAGTGGTGTAGCTCCTTAGAGGATCAGTGACAGTCAAGAAAAGGACATTTTAAAGATGTCATTGTGCTGCTCATGTGCTTAAAGTTTCATATGTCGTGTGAAAATGCTTTTGTGGATTGAGGCCTAAAACAAGAAATGCATTTGCTGTTCCTATTTCTCTGTTCTTATGTCTTTCAAATGCTAAAGGCTGTAAAACTCAGTTGTGTAATTCATCTCCTTCAGATTCTGGTTCACCAATAAAAATAAAGCTCAAACTGAAAGAAATATTTTCTTTCAGACTGCAATGGAAGTGATGCAGTTCAGCAAGGAGGAGGTGCGAGAAGTTCTTAGGCTGCTAGCTGGCATTCTGCATCTAGGGAACATTGAATTTATCACTGCTGGTGGGGCACAGGTGTCCTTCAAAACAGGTGAGATTGTTATGGGATGAGGAAATGTCCATTATTGATTAATAGCAGTGTTGGAAACCACACAGGACAACAAAGTCTCTGATTCCTTTCAGGGTCTGTGAAAGATGGTTTAAATGCCATTGTTTTATGTAAATTAAATGAATTACTATTTGGAGGGCAGAACTGTCACCGCTGTCTACTTTCCATTTTCTTTACTTTATGGATTTCATAGCATTCTGTGTTGTTTCACTCAGTTTTCAGTGTACAGTTAGTCAAGTTTCCCTTCTTAGTTGTGTGGGTGCTTCATTGAGTAATGGAGGAAATGAGCAAATTTTAAGAAATAGGAAAAAAGAGATGTTATATCCCTAACAAATTAGCAAGGATGTTCAGGGACAGATGAAAATCCTGAAAACATTTAACTGATAGAATTATGTGTAGTATTGAAGAGGAGCCGGTGGTTGTGGTACATGCAGGTACCAATGACATAGAGAAGGGTAGGAGAGAGACCCTGGAGGCCAAATTTAGGACCTCAGTGGTAGTGATAAGATATTGAAATCTAGGACCTCAATGGTAGTGTTCACTTAAATGCTTCCAGACCAACAGAATGCTTACAGACTGGCAGAAGTACAGGGTCTCAGTGCGAGGATGAGATGATGGTGTAGGGAGGAAGGGTTTAGATTGATTAGGAACTGGGGAAACTTTTGGGAAAGGGAGAAGCCTATAACAGGAAGGATGGGCTCCACCTAAACCAAAATGGAACCAGCTTGCTGGGATTTAAAATTAAAAAGGTTGTTGAGCAGTATTTAAACTAAGGGCTCGGGGAAAGCTGACAGGTGCAGAGGAGCACATGTATCAGACAAAGATGGTCTATAAATAGAGATTCCCTATGTCCTAGTGAAGAGAGAGGATGGAAGATGATAAAATATGGATAAGAGTTGATGAGAAACAGTCAAATGAAAAAACTCCATTCAGTCACATGATGTAATAGTTTTTAAAGTGCTTACAAGTCTAGATAAGAAGATGGGTGAACTTGTATTAAATGAGGATAGTGCTAAAATAGACATCATAGAAGCTTGGTGAAATGAGGATAATCAATGGGACACACTAATGCCAGAGTACAAAAGTTATCTGAAGGGCAGAACAGGTTCTGCTGGTGGGGGAGCGACATTGTATATGAAAGAAAGCAGAGAATCAAATGATGTAAAAATCTTAAATGAACCAAACTGTTCTATAGAGTCTCTATGGATAGTATTTCCATGCTCTAATAATCTGAATATAGCAGTAGGGACATATCACCAACCTTCTGACCAGGATGGTGACAGTTACTATGAAGTGCTAAGGGAGATTAGAGAGGCTATAAAATAAACTCAGTAATAGTGGGGGATTTCAACTATCCCCTTATTGACTGGGTGCACGTCACCTCCAGACGGGATGCAGAGATCAAATTTCTTGATACCTTAAATGACTGCTTCTTGAGCTGCTGGTTCTGGAACCTACAAGAGGAGAGGCAATTCCTGATTTAGTCCTAAGTGGAGTGCAGGATCTGGTCCAAATGGTGAATATAGCTGGCCTTGCTTGGAAATAATGGCCAGAATATAATTAAATTTAACATCCCTATGGTGGGAAAAACACCACAGCAACCCAACACCGTGGAATTTAATTTCACAAAATTTCATCAGGATTCAGCCGCTGTAGGAACTGACCAGCGGCTGACTCCAGGAAGCCCGAGGCAGAGCTGCTCTGCCCCTGGCGTCCCCAAGAGCACCTGGGGTGTTGCCGGGTTGGTCTCGCTGCACCAAGGGTCGGCGCTACCGGACCAACCCGGCAGCACTCCAGCTGCTCTGCTGCAGGCGTCCCCGATTCAGCCGCTGGTGAAACAGACCAGCAGCGGCTGAATCGGGGACGCCTGCAGCAGAGCAGCTGGAGTGCTGCCGGGTTGGTCCGGTAGCGCCGACCCTTGGTGCAGCGAGACCAACCCGGCAACACCCCAGCTGCTCTACCCCAGGTGTCCCCAAGTCAGCCGCTGCTGAAACTGATCAGCAGCTGACTCCAGGAAGCCCGAGGCAGAGCTGCTCTGCCCCTGGCGTCCCCAAGAGCACCTGGGGTGTTGCCGGGTTGGTCTCGCTGCACCAAGGGTCGGCGCTACCGGACCAACCCGGCAGCACTCCAGCTGCTCTGCTGCAGGCGTCCCCGATTCAGCCGCTGGTGAAACAGACCAGCAGCGGCTGAATCGGGGACGCCTGCAGCAGAGCAGCTGGAGTGCTGCCGGGTTGGTCCGGTAGCGCCGACCCTTGGTGCAGCGAGACCAACCCGGCAACACCCCAGCTGCTCTACCCCAGGTGTCCCCAAGTCAGCCGCTGCTGAAACTGATCAGCAGCTGACTCCAGGAAGCCCGAGGCAGAGTTGCTCTGCCCCGGGCTTCCTGGAGTCAGCTGCTGATCAGTTTCAGCAGCGGCTGACTTGGGGACACCAGGGGCAGAGCCGGACTATCGGAAGGGGGGGCTATGAGGGGTCTGGGGTGGCATCCCCCCCACCCCAGACCCCTCATAGCCCCCCCTTCCGATAGTCCGGCAAATCTGATAATCCGGCACCCCCTGGGTCCTAAAGGTGCTGGATTATCGGAAGTTTACTGTAGTAGAAAAACATTTTTTAAGAACATCAGAAGCAGGGGCCCTGCTAAACAATCAGTGGGGCCACCGGACAATTGAGATTCCAAAGAAATGTTCAAGGACAATGAGCTTGTTGTTCAAAAACTAAATAAATTCGTTGCATTGGTCTTCATGGCTGAGGACACGAGATTGGTTTAGGTTTGGAAATCTTTCTTTTTAGGTGACAAATCTAAGGAACTGTCTCAGATTGAGGTGTTACTAGAGGAGGTTTTGGAACAACTTGATATGTTAACAATAACAAGTCACCAGGACCAGATGGTATTCTCCCAAGAATTCTGAAAGAACTCAGATGTGAAATTGCAGAACTACTCTTTGTGGTCTGTAACCTGTCCTTTAAATCATCTTCTGTTCCAAATGACCTGGAGGATAGCTAATGTGACACTAATTTTCTAAAAGGGCTTCAGAGATGATCTTGGTAATTACAAGATGGTAAGTCTGACTTCAGTACTGAGCAAATTGGTTGAAACTATAGTAAAGAACAGAATTGTCAGACACATAGATGAACATAATTTGTTGGAAGGAAAGCCAATATGTTTTCTGTAAAGGGAAATCATGCCTCACCAATCAACTAGCATTCTTGGAGGAGGTAAACAAGTATGTGGACAGGGAGGTTCCAGTGGATAAAGTTTAGGTGGATTTCCAGAAAGCCTTTGACCAAGTCCTTCACCAAAGGCTCTTAAGTAAAGTAAGCTGTCATGGGATAAGAAGGAAGGTCCTGTCATGGACTGATAACTGGCTAAAAAACAGGAAACAAAGGGTAGGAATAAATGGTTAGTTTTCAGAATGGAGAGGGGTAACTAGTGGTACCCTATTCAGCATATTCATAGATGATCTGGAGAGAGGGGTAAACAGTGAGGTGGCAAAGTTTGCAGATGATAAAAATCTTGCTCAAGATAGTTAAGTCCAAAGCTGACTGTGAAGAGCTTCAAAAGAGTTCAGAAAACTAGGTGACTGAGCACCAAAATGGCAAATGAATTTTAATGTTGATAAATACAAAGCAATGCACCTTGGAAAACATAATGCCAATTACAGGCAGTCCCCAACTTACGTGGATCCGACTTATGTCGGATCCGCACTTACGAACGGGGCTTTCTCGCGCCGGAGGTCGGGGCGAGAAAGCCCCGTTCGTAAGCTGCTCTGGTGCCCCTGGTCTGCTGGAGACCGTCTCCAGCAGACCAGGGGCACTGGGCAGGTTCCCGCGCTTCTGAGGCTTTGCCAGAGCAAAGCCTCAGAGGCGCGGCACCCCGCTGCCGCTGCGGCTCTGTTCCCCGTGTCCCTGGTCTGCTGGGGGGAGGGGGCGCAGCTAGTGTGCTCCCCCCCCCCCGCAGACCAGGGTTTTGTTT